AAAAAACAAGATGAGCTTTTGCTTTCCACTCAAGGATTTCAAGATTTCCAACACCACTGCTGTTCAGAAATCTTCCAATCAAATATCTGAACGTTGGAGTCTTTAACCACAACTGTTTTTTTGCTACCTCATGTTCCTGTTTTTACAATGAAGTGAAAGACTTGCACAGCTTACCAGTTTTACAGCATCTGAAAGCTGGTTTAACAATGCAGCGTCATGTAAAAGGAAAGAAGGAAGCAGATTTTTCTCCTGTTACAGTTTAAAACTGCTAATGGCTCTTGAAAGCTCAGATTTCTATGCCAGTTGCTTGTGCAGGCAGTAACCTCAAATGTCACAGCAAAGCTGAAAATGTATTAAAAAAAATCTGTTCATCTTTTGAATATTGATTTATTTTGTAATTAGCTTACTCCTTTTCCAAGCCTCCTTCCCTAATTTCTAAATGATGTGGAAGTTATTACTGCACAGTTAGACCAAGAGAGAAGAGAAAGAGGTGCTCCGTCACTACACAAATCGCAGGGTATTAACAGAAGGCACACAGGGGCATTTGGAGCGGCACCCTCAGGAGTTCTGTCTGGGTTCAGACAGACTGTGCTGGGACAAGAACAGCAGCTCAAGCAATACTTAAAGCACACCATTGCCATTTGCAAGCACAGGTTCGGGAGCAGCATGCGTACCCAGAGAGGCGGGCAGCAGAGGCTGTAGCTCACAGGCACCGTGTACCAGCGACTTCTGTCGCAAGTGCTCCGACAGCCTGCCCCAGACCTGCGCTCCTGGAGCGCAACTTGAATTGAACCGACACTTTCCCCAGAGCTGCGGCACCAGGCTCCCACTCTCAGGCTGAACAAGAGACTTGGTTGAGTGGAAACACATAGCACCTTTCTTCCTTAAGGGAAATCATAATAGATCACATTCTTGTACCTCTTATAGTCTTACTGGCACACCTTGCGTTATAACTGGATGGACTGCCTTACCTGGGAAGAGGCAGCATGACGGCATGCCAAATCCCAGGGCTGAGATCTGCGCCCCTTGCTGCACCATTGGCCTTTCTGACACCTTCACAGCACAGCAAGAATTTGAACATTTCTGCCTTTGGGGACTTAACTTTTAGTACCCAACTTCTGCAACAGATGCCCAGTCCAAGACAACACACACCACCATCGGGTACCCAAGAAAGCCAGCACACCGGGCAGGGAGGCAGCTCAAGCAGGCAGAAGGAAAACATTTTAAATCCACTGCAGCCCAAGAGAGTGAAAGGTAAGTGTTTTTCCTGCACTCGAAAGCTTGCGGCTGTGATTTTTCAGTTACGTTCATAAACGCTTTACTTGCAAAAAGGAGATAGCCTGGTTTTCTTTTAGCCAGTTTTAAGAACATTTGCTCCAGAGAGACTGAGTCCCTTCTTTTAACTCATGGGACCAAAACTCTCTTCTCTGCATCTGAGAAGAGTAGCCGAGGTTCCAGGTGTTACCACAAGAGATAACTTTCGCCTTAGCAGGCTGTTGCCGATAACCAGCAATCCCTCTGAGGACATTTTTACATGCTAAGAAAGAGATCGTGAGCATGTTTTTCTGAACCCCTCCTCACAACACTGCTTGTCTTGCATTCATAGCATTGTGTCAAAGCTGTAGCTCAGCCTTCTACATTATCATTCCTAAGTAATTTCTGAAATAATCTTGAAGGGTAACTCAAACTGGGGAACTACTTATTAAAGGCAGTACTCTCAATTCTTTCACTGATGCCTACAGTAGCTGTACTCAGCATACACTTGACATTGAAAAATATTAAGCACAAGTCATTACTGGTTTGGGGGGACACCCCCACATGCTAACCAACCAAATGCTACTTTAGCAGGCACATTTACAACCCCGTAAGCTGGAAGCTGTTTCAGACCTGAAGTTATTTCAAACTACAACTAGTCAGGCATAAGTCCCTACGTGCTCCTCTTGACTTAAGAGGAAAAAACCTAAGATTTGCCCCTGCACAACTTTATTGATTTGCAAGGAAAAGATGCACAGAAAAGTCTAAACGTATTTACAGAATATATCCTTTAAGGCAACGATTACTGCTCTTCTCCTCTCTTGTGATGAACACGTAGATAACATCATGCTAAGCAACATCTGTTACAGGTAAGCCAATCATAGTACCAGAGGAAAATATTGCTAATAAAAAAAAACCCTACCAAGTATTAAGCATTCCTTTTCACAGAAGGAATAAAGTACATATTCACAGTTCCTTTCCTTTAGCTGTGGAAAAAAATTGACTTTTTTGGTTAAATCTGATGCAAATATTCCCCTTTCAAAAAAAAAAAAAGAGTTCAGAGTTGACACTATCACGCAAAAATTGACACTTCTTCAAGGTTATGAACAAACTAAGTTTAATCTAAACCTAGTTTACAGTTGCATCAGAGGAAGAATAGTTTCAGTCTTTCCAGTAAACGAATGCAACAGAAGCTATGTCTGTGTCAGCAAATAATTCAGTATGATAGCAGTGAATCCATAGAATCAAACAGATGATGTTCACACTCAATGCCAACAGTACATAGAGTCTGGAAATTTGAAGGCCAGGTTTAGCCTGATCCTCAGGACATCCTCAATGCATAGGTGGCTTCCAGCTGCCTGAAGGAAACCGCTATGGACTCAGGTCACCATTAGGAGCTGCAAGGCATTTGGTGCACACCCAGAGCCCAGTTCCCAGTTTAGATTTCTGCAAAGGAAGTGAATGCAAAAGCACCAAAACTGCCTTCTCAGCCAAACCAGTATGTGGCAAGCGGGGATGAGCGAGGCATTTACTCCCAAACTGCACAAACTACATCACTGCCGTAGATGCGGCTGGAGTCATCCCCTAAAGAGAGCACATCTATTAGGATGTGCAGTCTCATACAATACTTTTAACCCTGGGCTGAATGACCATTTACTAATGAACTGCATTGCAGTGCTCCCAACTGAACCAGCCAGCAGAATTGCTTTCAGCCTGTAGAGCATAAGAAGCAGTAGTGATGTAACCAAAATTACAATGATTTTAAAGTTTCATTCTGCCTGCAGTATGAATTAAGACAGACATACAAAAAAGGGGCTACTCAGGAGAAACTGAAAGCAGAATTCTCACTCCTGTTGCAGATGTTCAGAAAGAACAATTGCTTACTTGCATAAGTTAAAAATTCCTTCGTATAAAGGAGCACTGAGACGCATAAGATGTAATACACTTCATAAACGCAAGCATTTTACAAGTCCATATTACAAGCCGTAACGTCTAGTACATCAACATTCCACAACACAAAGCTTGTCTTTATATTTAAAAATAGAATATAAACAAATAGTAATTCACATTAAGACAATTGCCACAGCAAAATTTCTCAGAGAAAGTGCTTTACCCACACAAAACACCCTAAAGCCTACCACGCAAGCTCTAAAGTTCTCCAATTTAAAAGGGATAGGGGTAGAAACAAAAATAAAGGGCAAGTGACATCCAAAATTTCGAGAGAAATCAAGAACTCCAAATGTGCCATCTGCCTCAGCTGATACTCAGGTCAGCTTCATCTGGGGAGTCATTACCCCTAAATATGATACAGCATACCATTGCAAAAAAGTAACAGAATAGTTGATTTACTTATAAATTGCTTTATTGAAGCTATAACTTAATAAATTTGATGTTCAAGGTGTAAAATTATCTCACAGACTAAAAATTAACACAAGAGGAAAAAAATGTAAGTAATACAAATCTACTTGTATCACCCTACTGGTAGAACTGAACCTGTAGGATGCTATTATTTGAAGATAAGGAATTAAGACTATCACAGGACTGAATGAACAGAGAGGGAAACACAGTAATAGAGTACTTTACAGTAAAACACCTCTTTATTAGGAATATATTTAAAATTAGCTTTTTATTTCAGGTAAGAAAAATAGCATTCTGACTTTTAGCCAGTGCTGATTTCGGTCATACACTATATTCTAACAGCTAGAAAAGTTATTTGCAATGTTGTTGCCCATTAACAGTTCTCCTAACTGTCCATGCACTGTCTTATTTTTTTAGCTTGTTCTTATATATGTTGAAGAAATTCTTCAAACAAGGTCTGTATTTAGATCTTAGTTAAGATTGACAGACTGACTTGACAGTGACTCAGCATCTGTTATTAGCTCACATACAGCTTTTATAAGCCTCCTTTTAAAGAACAACATGGTTCAATAGCTGATCTATAGAGACAATTAGGAGGGCAACTCTCCAGGAAGACTGTGGCAGAACAAATCCCACTCTTCTACTATACAGTTTAGTACTGTAAAGTAGCAGCAGTTTCAAGAACTTCAGTTAATTCTATACCCCTTTATAAGAGAGCACTGAAGAACAGAATATAGGGGTATTGCTATTACAATTCAAACAGTAAACCACTTTGTGTGTACATTTTTATACTCAGTACAAGTCTCAACTCTTTCTCTTGCTATGCTGTAACTTAACAGTTTAAGGTAATTAATTGGATCATGATGTAAACAAAGATATAAAACCTTTGTGTAAGCTTTACTGGTTTAGGACCGTGCATAAATACCTGCCTTCTAAAAAAAAAAAACAAAACAAGCTGTTTAGTTTTCCATCATGAGCATATTTTAAAACAGGTTTTCATCCAATTAAAAATGAAATCTATGCATTTCACAGAAGTATTATACAGCATTTTTAATGAAATCTGTTTTTAGATACCTGATGTCCATTTTCAATATGACATATCAGACAGGGAAAGTATTCTCCAGACAAATGTCTTGGTTTTGGTCTTGTAATTTCTTCCATCCTCTGTAGCCAATAGGAAGCTAAAAGATACCTGTTTTAAGTAGACTTCCATACGCAGATGTTTCTTAAACACAGATGGAAACAATGGATGATGATATTACAACAATCTCCACATACACTGAGAAAATATCAATAGGCCACAAGTTTGTGGCTGTTTTAAGTGGTATTCTAAAAACATATAGAAACACCAAAAATAGGCTATATCAGGAACCAATCTGATACTCAAATAAATAGAAAATTTGCATTTTAATGTCACATTGCATTTTAGTACATTTCAATCCAAGAAAAAAAATAAACCTACAGACATAGTAATGCGTACAGGATTATATATATTACAGTATGCCTTATTATAATACATTTGTGGCTTTATGATAAAAAAACCTCAAGGGCAGACGGAGTTTGAGCTCATTTAAGTAACTGTCAGGAACAAAGCATTAAATGCAATTCTGAAATAAGTACTTTTATTTAATTTCAAAATCTTAAAACAGCATTAAACCTTGGCCTTTTCTTTTTAAAAAAATTTAGTTACCACGGAGTTAGCTAAATAAGTATTCTGAAAGGTTTAAACGACCTAGAAAATGCTTTTCCCAATTTTACATACAATGAAAGGACAGATGATTTCAAAAACAGCACCTATGGCTAACTCCACGTTGACCTTGACCTACAGGTCACATTACTGATCTCGACAAGGAATCCAGCAGATTTTGGAAGTTGTCCATTTCACATGAAAGCAAGAGAAAGGGTTATCATATGCGAAAATATTTTTCAAACTGTTCTTAACATGTAATTGAAAACTAAAGGCATGGTCTCTTCATTATAAAAAAATAAAGGTACAACAGAAACTCTAAAGAAAGATATTCAGCTATACTGAAGTTGCAACCCTCTGAAGAGAAAGAAAAAGGAAAAAAGTCAATTAGCTAAGCTTTGTGCTCTAACCAAACTACTTACAGTGATTTTCAATGGCAAAAGCCCATGCTGACTGGGTGATGCGACAGTTCCGAATACTTTTTGTAATAATTTTTATTTGTCTACAAGGACACTAAAATGATCCAGTCATGCAACGTTCACTTTAAGCATTCTGCATCTCTTTTCCAATCTTATAGCTAAGGATCTTGTTCCAGTCAATCTTGGTGCGGGTAACTGGCAATTGTCGACGTAGGGCCTTGAAAGTAGTGTCCGACATAGTCTGATAATTCTCACTGATAGCAGTCTGTTAAACACAAAGTCATACAAAACAAAGACACATGAAGAACAGAACTAGAATGTTATATAAAAAGTTAAATGATTGAGTAGTCTGTTACCTCTTAAACAAGCTTAATAAAAATATGCTAAATTAAAATAACATTTTATGAAGGAAAGCCACCAGATCTAGATTGAAACTATGTGAAGAAAATTAGTGAGACAGATGCAATAAACCTGGCTGTAGCCTAGGTGTTTCAGCAAACCACAGTGTATAGTTAATCAGCGGCTTGAATAAAGTGCTGATCAGAGTTAGCTCATACATCATTAATTTCAGACACCAAAGTCTTCCACCGTTTTTCCTGTGGGGATGGTAGAGTCAGTCCACAACATTGTATGAACCTGAATATAACGCATACGATACATACCTAGTAAATTTTTATTAAAGAGCATTTTTTTTTTAAACTGACAGAACATGGTGTCTGAAATTTACCTCATGTTCAAGACCTAAATGAACATGAATCCACTTCCACAGAGGATATCTAGTACAATTATACTTTTCTAACTTTAAAATGACTAATTGAAATGGATAACGCTTATAGTCGTATTTAGCAAAGCTGTCTAACAGAGTAGCCTCTGAACAGAATCTGTAAAAGAATTCCACTTAAGGAATGCACTAATACTGAAAGAGATCAGAATTGCTGATATTTGATCATGCTAGGAACTTTTCTGCTCTCAAAAAAATGACTTCTAATGTAACGTTAAGTAGGTGAGTGCAATCACCAGAGGTATGGAAAGGGAGGATACAGCTAATAGCAGCATGCAATCTATTTATATTTGTATGGAACTGCATTATCTTACTATCATAAGCTAGCTAATTATAGAATACTAGCTTTGGTTATACATGTGAGCAAGGATATCGTGTTTCTTTCCAACATACCTGATATTCATTTTCTGCAGCCTCTACGATTTTTATAAATTCCTTCGCTGTCTGGGCTTCATTCTAGAAAAAGAGCATTTGAATTAGGTCTGATGTACAGCATGATTCTAAGACCAGTTGGATTATGGTTTTTTCCTATAGTTACGAGACACATCAGGCAGACTCCATGAGAACACGACCATTTACTGAACAAAAACATTCATCCAAAAGGCATTTGCCACATTATTATTATATTTATATTATTATTATTATTATATTAAAAAATAAAAACAGTCCAACTGCAACAAGCATAAAGATTACCATGGAGCTGAGTAAGATATTTAGATTTAAAATTTTATGGTACGATAAAAAAAAATGGAACAGAACAGCATTTGGAAATAGGAGAATGCATACACACAAGTCTAAAAACATGCAAAGTATGGATATTAACATTATCAGTGTTAAATTTCCAGTACAAATTCAGGAAAACTTAAAGAACACCAGCTAACCCAGAAGTATGCGAACACAACCAAAAAACCAAAACAAATTTGTTCACCTCTAAACATTCTGAATCTGGAGACTAAGCTGAGGCAAACACTAGACTTCATATACCTGACCTTCTAAAAACATCCCCAAGTATATCTTGCAAAAATGAGGGTGCAACACACCAGTGTCCAAATTTCATCGTGGCTGATAAAGAGTTTCTTGGCTTTGGGCCTCATCCTTAAGTATTCAAGTGTGTGTTTGTTGCAAAAATAAAAAAGTGACCCATCAGTCAATCTGGAGACAGATTCGCTGACATGCTTGAAAGAAGTCTCAAGAAGGAAGTCAAGGTTCATGAATTTCGAAACTTCCAACTTCGTGTTGGAGACATTCCTAAGGGTGCTTTTGCAGATGCTCTTCAAAGATAGGAGCGTTCTTGCCCCACATGATCCCTTGTTCCTACAGAGGCAAAGACTGGGAGAAAGCTATGGCAGCTTCAACTACAACTCGTTCAAAGTTTCAGTGAAACTGCAGCTAGCAGCTGTGAAAGTGCTCCTGGACATTGCAAGAAGAGATGAAGGAGGAGGCAGAGAACAAGTAGAACAAATGAAAGGGTTTTGACTTTTCAGTGAACTGAGGCAATGATTTCAAAGGCTCTGCTAATGAAAGGAAGTATTCAGGGGTATGAGGTCTTATTTGGCTCAGAGAGAAATTAGGGATAAGAACGTAACCTTTAGCAAAATGATTCATAGCTCTAGCAACAAGAGAACTCTTCAGCTATTTATTTCAGTTGTGCTCATTGATGGCTCAGAATTTTCCCTGCCGTACAACAAAAAAGAGAAGTCATTGGGACTCCTTTAAATCTACCTACCATTCCTTCTGTGTGAAATAAGAGCCCATACAGCCTCTTCCCTCTATGAAGCTCAAAGCCAAGGCTAAAAATTGGTAACCAGCAACATACTTGCTTTTGTTCTAGCAGGAGGTAGGAAAGTTATGTAAAAGATGTTTTTCTACTCATCGGTCTTCTGCCGCTTTACTAAATTGCGGAACAGGATTAAGTTTCTTCCCAATAGAAAGTGAAGCAAAAGCTATTGAAAGGAGAACTTCTTCCACATAATCTTCCCTGAAGCAACTCTTAGTTGAACGGAAGACTAAACAGATCCCTTCGCTTAGGAGGTCAAAAGTAATTCTATATTTACAGCTTCAGAAGCATTATCAATTGGCACCACACTCCCCCATTCTTTATGGTGCTATTGCAACTGGAAAGCCAACAAGCCTTGCTTTATATTAACAAACAATGTTCTTTATTGATGAATTGAGCTTTTGAGCCAAATTGGTCACTACCAGTCATTATCATCAAAATACTTCTACTGTTCACTTTTACAATTTCCCTTTGCCAGTTTAACTGCACTGGCTTAAGTTTTATTAAAGAACACTCCAACAGAAAATCTTACTGTTTATAAACACAATCTCCAGTAGGCAAGAAGAGCATTATTTCAAAAGTAGTTGTTCATGTCGCAACATTACCAGCTCTGAAAAGAATACATCTGGCACTATTTCCAAACAACTTTTATTTCTGTCTGCTCCTCATTACTATAATGATCCATTTGGAAAGAAGTTGAATAAAATTATGCTTTAAATATAGTGTTATGCTTCTCAGGCTGAAGCATCTCTGAAAGGGCTTTTCGTACAGAAAAGCAAGAGGCTGACAGCACCAGTTACAGACAGGGAGGAAATGAAGGGAGAATACCCACTACTACTCAACTGGTAGCATTTGTTTACTATTTTTAGCATACTGGTCTTCTCCCAGTGAGCAAAGGAGGCAGTCTAGAGACTGTACTACTAACTGTGTTATTCTAACTCAAACCTCCTTCATATTCAAAAATTACTTCTACAGGTCACTCTGCAGATCAAAGTTTAAATACAACAGAAGTGCAGAAAGACTGACAGCAAGCTAATTAAAGATTTACAATCAAAGTTAATTGAGCTTATATACACCACATGCAAGCATACATTAATTTTTTTTAAACTTTTTTTTAAAAAACAGCAACTACATATTAGGTAAAAGTAGTAAATATCACATACAAAATATTTATAAAGTAGAACATTAATTCCCATTCATGCAGAAGAGCAAACTAGCCTCCAAACTTCTGATTTTTTTTAAGCTTGCTTCTGTTTTAAATTAAAAAAGTCAATTCACTATACACATTAAGGTCTTTAAAAGTTCACTTACAGACACCGTTAGAGAATCTTGTATGTCTTTATGGCTCACCAACTGAACATTACCATCTTCATAATAGTGAACCTACAGAAAATTAAACAAAGAACCTCATATTAAATGTTACAGACCAGCAACATAAAGGAAAATCAAACTATTGTACTATTTATTATAATAACAAACCTATATGAATCAAACACACACACACCCACCATTACAGAACAACAAAAACAGGAAAACCAAAATGTTGTACTATTTAAATATTTTTGAGGGGGAATAGTAAAGAAGCTACTCTGGAAACATTTTTGTGTTGATGTGCCTTAAGTAGTATTTCATGCAAAGAAGTTTAGAATCACAGAACCGTAGAATCATTTAGGTTGGAAGAGACCTTTAAGATTATCAAGTCCAACCGTAAAACTAACACTGCCACGTCCACCACTAAACCAAGGTTTTGATTAACATCATGAAGATGACATACTATTTACGTGACCTTACTAGAAACTCTTGAAATGGTGAAGATAGATTTAAAACGAGAATAGCTTTGGCAAGGCTTCATGATACTGTGAAGTTGTTTTTTGCTTCATCCAAACTGTTTCCTAGGGACAGTGCAACATTAAGCTTTCCTGTCTAGATCTGCTTGGTTTTGGTATTTTCCTCTATTAGATATGGCTCATAACAAAAGCTGGTATTTATCTAGATAAAGGAGCTCTTTGGGACAAAGTCTGCCAAGGCTAGATAGCAAAGCAGAATGAAATCTATTTACTCCTGAAATGTTATATCTACAGAACAGCTTGATTATTTTGCAGGAGGAGGAGACCAGTAAAAACTCTACCCAAGCTAGCTTTAGTACATTTAAATTCAGTTAGGAAGGATCTGAAAACTCATTTTCTAATGCAACTGTTGGAAAACTTAAAAAAAAAAAAATAGGAAGCATACATAAAGTTACATGTAGTCATTCACAAAAACTGATGCACAGGAGTTATGCAGCTCATTGACATGTAAACGTATCTTTAAGGATTTTTTACAATTTTGATAAAGTTAACGTAGCTGATATGAGGAATTGAAGAATATGTGCCTTGCCCTATTAGGCAAGATAACGTTTTAATTTGGAGATTAATGCACAATGCTATAATTTCATACACATTATGATCATGATCTGTGCAAGAGACCCTCAGTTTTATAAACAACAATAGAGAAAACACGACACAGAGTAAGACAGCTATAATACTTAGGCAAAAGAAAGGTTTCCCATACGAGAAAAGCATTATTTCCTATGATTCATCTTACATTCTTATTTTGCTTATTGTCAAATAGTTGTTTTTCAAAAAAGATATCATCCTAACCATAAAATAAGCTTCTTTTCAAATCAAACATTACTAAGTGAAACTTCTGCCAGACTTTTTCAATCCAGTTCCTAAAAGATGAGAAGTGCTTACTCAGTGCAAAATTCTGAGACCTCCCAAAAAAACAGCAGAACGGAGAGAGGTATAACTCTCCCCCCTTCTCCATCACAATCCACTGCAGAGGGGCCAAACTTCCCCTGTGCTCTGAGGCTAACATCAGCATGAACATCTGCCTCACCGACTCACATTCTTGACAAACACTCAGGCCTAAAAACTTAACAGCAATGAAGAGTCAAATCTAATTCTGGGATATGTTATATCTTATACAAAATATGAGAAGCAACTGTTCTGTACTATACCTCACTGCTGACATCCTTCTAGAATGCTAGGTCTGGGTTCAGAAGACTACAAGAAGGATGATGTTTATGAACAGAATCTCTTGGAAAGGTTAACTAAGGAGGGATGAGAATAACAAATTATCTAAGAGATAAAATTAGTAACCAGTACACTTATCAGTTGTTTCCATGCACAGTTGGAGCATGTCAAGCACCACGGGGACTTAGTTTTAGTAAAAGACTCTGCTGTTGCAGTTTTCCCCTTACAGATAATTACAAGAAAATTAAACAATAGAAGAGATTAAGACAGTTGAGACTCTGTTATATTACAATTTAACAACAGAATTTAAAAAAAAAAAAAAGGAAGAAGTTGTGCAAGTGACCTTAAAAATACTGAAGACACCTGAAGACAGCAGGTGATGCTGGAATTTTCCCCAACATATTCACAAAAAGTCTTATCAGAAACAGGGCCAGGGCCGTATTGCTGTTAAAGATTCTGCAAATAACACTGAAATTTCAGTACTCTGAAACTTCACTAATGTTGTGGTGAGTTCATATTCTAGAAAATGATTTTGCTCTTTAAAAAAAAGGCACTTTGTTTGTTAAGGGGAAGGGGAGCACTCCCACATACATTGAAGAAATTGTACACAATTTCTAAAAATTTGAAAATGAGTTCAAAATTCCTTGCTGAAACAAGTAGTTCCTATACAAGCAAAAAAAGTAAAACTTTTCATCAATCCCCAAAACACAGACTTTAGTGAATGTAAATAATGTCTCGATTAATTATGTGAAATAGTAATAAAAGACAAAATCAGCTGGTGCCCAAACTGAGGTGCCGATTAAAGCCTGAATAGGGAATTTAGTCAGGTTATTTTCTAAGCTACTGGGTTAACCTTTCCCAGAATTAGGTAGACACCTGCCTGCTTGTTCTGGAAAATTAATGTCAAGACATTTAACCAAAAGTGCATGCTGTGGAGAAAATGCCTGTTTTGCTGCAGACTGGATTTAAGTGACAGTTTACTTAGATTCTCCCAATGTCTTGAGAAGCCTAGGAGTTACTTAGGGTGCTTACCATGACCATCTTGATCTGATAATGTAATAATGGCTGTCCCCACTTTGACTATCATTCCAGTTGTTATAGAATTCGCCCCAGAAAGGGAAATCAGATTCAGGCCCCCTGCTTGGGTGGATCTGAACACAGCTACCACATCCTAAAATAACATCCTAGCCTCAGGCTATGGCTAGAAAAACATTCCATTGCATCTTCCTTCTGAAGTCAAGTCACTGAGCAGTAAGGAACTGCAAAACTCATGGGGGCACAAAAAGAGCAGGAAAAGAGAACTTGACTTTACGTCTTGTAAAAAAATAATGAAGTACTACACTGAATGCCAAACTGCACTAAGATTCTAGTCCCTGATCCCAGAATCGTTTTAATAAACTCCTACAAAATATGTGTACACATTCCAGGGAACCAATCCAGGCAGTCAAGTCCCCCTGCCGACCACATGACAGTCAGACTTTGCATGCCTACTTAGACAGTACTCCTTTCTGAATGCCCTAAAGCCAACAGGAAGGGCAAATTCTGAATGAAGGAAACATGGATTCAAAAATTTCAGATGGTGGAATGACTAAAACCAAAGGTTCCCACCTTTCTGAACAATAGGATGGGTAACATGAAAAAAACCTGCTACTATCAGTTAAAAAGAAAAAAAGTTCTACTTCAGAAAGGGTCTACCCTCAGGAAAGGCTTGTGCCACTGTGAATTCAAGAAACAGGAAACCAAAGAGGTATACTACCTAGCTGAGGTGAATATACCTTCTGAACTCTTCTGAATCATTACAGTAAACACATATTTTGTGTTTGTAAGGATTAGGTAAATATGCAATTAAGCCGCTAACACTTAACTGAATGGGCATCTCTGCTTTGCTTATTGGGTCTCCAAATTCTCTTAGAATACTTAATACACTGGCCTGAGTCTCCCTTGATAATAACTGGAGACTTTACTGATCAGGACACAGTTTGAGATAAGCATACCTGAATTTTCAAGATGCCAGCCACTTGAGTGGTTGAAGGGGTGATTGTAAACTTCCATTCTGACCTCCAACGGCCATTCCTTTAAAAAAATAACATAGAAATCAGATGTCACCCCACTGGTTAAGAAAAAAACCACGAACATACAACTGATAGTCAAGGGAAAACAGAGAATGAAATACTGTGTGCAGCCACACGTGCACAAGATCTTTCCCTAAATTCAGCCCCATAGTCAGTCAAGAAGAGAAGAGAGTTTCCCAAAATATTTACCCTCAGTTTTAGATGTGGACCAAAGAGATTTATTAGTACGGACCTTTTAACAGTAGGAATTAACTTTTGAAAATACCTAAAGCCTCCAATGTTCTTTCCCTCCTTTATTATTAATTAGGTGTATACATAGTCAATCTTTTGTTTCCGGGACCTGGATGACTTCCTGGATCAGCCGAAGTCATACTTCGCATCAGGCTATGAAAACCTTGAATGGAAGGAACATTAAAGTAGCAAAACTTTCCGCTATGCTGAACTGTAACCAGGCCTTTCAGCTCTTCTAGCATTTCTGTTCCAGGACAACTATTTCCTTCCAGTTTCCTTCCACAAATTCAATATCCTTGCCAAATTGCTTAAAGGGAGTTTCAAACATCTGGAAAACAGTATGGGGAGATTGTAGTTTCACTTGATTTCTTTCCTGTAGACGAGACATTTTCTTATTTAGTTATGAGGTTAGTGGATTAGAAGGTTAGTACATTAGAGCTATATTAAGAATGTACTGCGGCTGTCTCTCCATTTCTCCTTTGGATTTAAAGAAGGAAAGTTGATACTATGAGTTCCATTCCTACTAATGTTAGGTGTAGATTCCAGTGCATTCAACAAGGGAAGAGAAAGAGATAAAGACATTAACACCTACTAATGGATCTATATTGACACACCTTAGATATTAACAACATTAACTCAATTATAAAGCCATTGGTTATTATTTCAGACACTATCCAAATTATAGATTATCACTGAAAATTCAGACTAAGGCAATTCAGAAGCTTGTTGGAATCTCTAGGAAAACTGAAAGGGTCACCCAACTCAGTGACGCTAATATTACTGGTAACTTTAAGACCGATCCATTAGTTATAAGAAAGCTTACATGCTGAACTACATTTTAGGTACAATATTAGTTTTTAAATGCATGGGATTCAATGACTAGCTAACAGGTTTGTTTGCTTCTTAGTCACTTTGTGGTCCTTGAAGTTAAGATGACCACAATGTTTCCACCCTGGGATATTTTTTTTGTCCTTAAGATGCTATTCCAAGAAAACAGTTCAAGTTCAGAAGGATCCTTCTGTAGGAAATGCTCTAAGTTAAAAACAATGTGTCATTACTTTATTTACCTCTGCTGACGTAAGATATTTTGTAAAAGATTAAGTGTCATTCCTTTTCTTTCACATTCTTTAATAAGCCATCTATCCTACTATGTTGATCGTATTTCAGAAATTCATAGAACATTTTTCTTTGGCATGTATTGGTTTTCTATCATCCACCAAACTTGCTGTCATGGTAGGCTGCCAGCCTTCCAAATGCCTAAAAAGCTAGGACACCTTGAGAATAAATAATGTCCGTGGTTTGGGCTGGATATCCAGACATACAGCTGGATAGCTGAAGAGCGTGGTTAACTTTGAATCTATTCCTCCATCCTCAAATCCCCCAAATCAATATGCATTTATTAAAACTTGCTAAGAATGAGAATTAGTCTGATTATCCCCCTGTAAAACTCTTAGAAACATGGTCAATATTTACCCATAGATGTCTGACCATAACTTTATTGGAGAAAACTTTCAAGAAAGATTTTCTCCATCTGTAAAACGTTGTTGCATATCTGTTCGTCTTCTTTAATATAAAGACTATAATATTAAAGTAACTATTTGGAATACCGGAATTTATTCGTACTTCCGAACTAAAAAGAAAATCAGTATTATTTCAAGTTACTTTTAACATTGATGTAAAACATGCAGACTTAACCAGTCAGGTTTAAGTCAGTAGGAAAAACTATTCATTAAACTGTGCAAATTAAATTAAAATCTATGGAACAGTATACTGGGCAAATAATTTAACTGATATAGACACGTGCTGAAATTACTATGCATACGTAATATTCACCTTCAGCATCAGAAAAAAATTTCTGCACTTCCATTCATTACCCGTGGGATTACTAAATATAATTTTAAGCAGATGCAAAATAGCAAATAAAATAATAACGAAATACATTTCTTCAGACATTTGCATACATTCGTTATCTTTAGGAGATACTTCCTTAACCCAAATCTCATACTGTGATATTTGTCTCAACTCTGGCCTGTTTCCTCCAAGGAGCTATCCAAAGTTCACTCCAGACTGTGGAAAACATCTTTCAACCAAGTACAGAAAAAAAAAAAAAAAAAAAAAATCAAGCTGCAGTTTATAAGAGTTCATTTCATCAAAGATCACCTTTATCTACCTAACCCAAAAATCAATGATTCAAGTCTTACAGTAAATTCACCTTTGGTCACTTTCTTTCTCCGAGACATGCCTAGATGGAGTTGTTTTTATTCTGTCAGTCACAAAGGAAGCAACATGAGCAGAAGCAACTGTATGAGGGAACACAGGCATAGGTATTGGTGCTGGTGTGATAAACTGGAAGAGCCATAAGGAATTTTACCAAGTTCCCAAAGTTCTGTAATGGAGATGCAGACGTGCAGTCTGCCATTTTACCTACCACAAAGGAAGAGATTTCTACACAGTTTTGGCAGAAAAACTTGGGGTGGGGTGGAGGGAGAAAAAAGTTACATGCAAGATGTGCATGCACCTCCTTCTCTGAACTAAGAATTATCAGTGTAATGGCACTAGCACAGTTATTCAGTTTGCTGTATTTTACTGTATTTGTACGCATAGAGAAAAACTTACCAAAAATTTTTTGCTTGAAACTGATGGCTCTCTATGCATGCAATAATGGTCTGCTGTCCATCAATTGTCTTACCATACACCTTAATTAGAAAGGAGGGGAAAAAAAAAAAAAAGAACAGAGTTAAAGTTTCAGTATCTGCCTTGTTCAAACTGCTTAGAGATACCTAGTTCCATTATCATTACATAATCTGTAAAATTTAATTTTACAACCACTATGGTTCTTACATAATATTCAGTACTTGAAACATTAAAGTGTATATTACAATACAGAAAAATTTAAGATTAGAAAAATGTGAAGGTCAAGCATCTTAACTGAAATTTTATATACTACGAACTCATTTTTCTGCAACTATAGGAATTTTAAGCCTATAAGAGTGACTGCTATGGCAATATATATTACCAGCTGGATTTCAGATACCAGTTATTCTACAACTAAGTGATGATTTAAGCCTTTACAGACTAGTGAAAAGGTGATTAAAAGGGTGGTTTGGGTCCTCTGTTCTGCTTTATCCCCTAAAATCAAATACTGCTCAAAATGATCTCAATGAACACGCAATCTGGTTTCCTTTACAGAAACTGGAACTCATCCGACTGCCTGGCAATTGAATTACATATGTTAACTGAACAATTTTTTTTTTTTTTCCCATCAGGTTAAGATAAAGCACAGGACAGCTATCATTAGATCAGTTTGGTGAACTTTAAATGGTCATAGGGCTCCTAACAGCAAATGAATGCTATTTTAGTCCAGACTGAGAGGTTTTATTTTAAGAAGCCATCAGAAGCCACTGATTCTGGTGGTAAGAATATAGCACTTTCATATATAGGAAATGTGATGGAGAGAACACAGTTTGCTTTACTGACAGTTTTGTCAATAAACTGAGCCAAGACAGACGTTTGTATCTTATAGATTTTATTTTTTTTTAAAGTAACCAGGATCAACGGGATCAACCTGCAATCATCTACAGAAGGTCTTAATGCTTTAAAAAATTTAAATAAAAATTCATCAGAACCGAGAGGTAAGTCTTCACTATGACCTGCAGTAACCACCCACTAGTAATCCAATAGCTAAAATATTAAACTTCTGAAGCTTTCCCTCATTTCCCTGTATGAACCCTTGACAGGACTAAATTCTTTACAGTTGAAACCACCCATCTTCCTGGTTTACAAAGAGTAACACTTTTATTTTGGATTTCTATCTGTAGTGGTACAGTGGTTATATAATTTAGTACTTACTGTGCAGACACCATTTGGGTAGTGTTCTTTCACATATGCTTTCATTGCTGTTTCAACTGAATTTCTCCAAGATTCTATGGCATTTTCAACTTCGTGGGGTCTAGGATCAGTAGCCTCCTTTCTTAAGTGATCAAATTTAAAAGAGATCTTATTCTTGGGATCCAAAAATTTTCCATTTCCCAGATCACCATGTTCTGTTATCAAAACCTGTATTATAAAATTTTAGTTAATAACATTTGCTATTGAATAAAGAGAAAAAAAATACCATGCCAAATCTAATTATATCCCACATTTAACTGGAGCTTACTCATACCCAAAGACTCACATTTTAAACAAAATATGCATATAGCAAGAGAGAATGAGGCTAACATGACATACTGACTCAGAAAAAAAATCCTGAATCTTACCCTCTTACTGCAATAAAAAATGCAATATAGAAATTCATGTCTTCTAGTAGTAAAGATGGAGTAAATTGTTTCTACAGCTGCAAATCAGGTCTGACTGAATTCAGGACAACACCATAGAATGAAATTTCAAGCTCTTTATATGCCCTAAATGATTAGCTTATGGAACTGGTACTGGCCGTATCTATATTTGGACAGGCAAGATGCATTTCTTTCCATTTTCTTGCCAAGATATGTTCCAATACCAGAACATCTTCAACAGTTTAAGGAGCATTGAAAGTATTTAATTGTATTCATACCTGTTCATCATAACCATCAATTTTTACTGGAGTAAACTGGTCCAAGTTGTACTGTGCAAATGCACTACAAGAGAGAAAAAAAAAAATCAAAAGCCTGCAGCAAGCACAATCTTTTTCCTTAGTAGCTGTAAGAGATTTAAATAATAGCTAATAATCTGGGCAATGATGCATCAAAGAATTATATCAATGCTTCATTATCTAGCAAGCCCAAATTCTTGGAATCACCTTGGTTCATTCAGTGCTCATCTTACAGATTCCAACCACCATTACACAATGATTTCTGTTCAAAAGTAACCTGACAAACACATAAACTTTACAGTAACCCATAGAAACTGGAGGAACAGATAAAGTTTAAATTCCACAGGGATCCGAACTACTACACCAGACATCTTTATTCTTACAGATGAAACTAATTTTGGCATAAAACACAGTAGGCATAATGTTTTGATATAAAAGTAGGGTCTAAGGAAGCAGTATCTTACAGATGTTCAGTGCCTATAAAAACTACCAGGAAACAGAAAACGAAATCCAAAAAGGTGGAGACTAGTTCCAAAATCCAGGTCACCCATTTCCAAAACAGTTCCTCTAATCATTAGGATACAATACAGATCTCTCCTCTGCCAAGAATTTAATCTTGATCAAAGATGCACAACACACATAATAGGGTTTTACTTGCCAAGCACACATCTTTTTAAACGAATCACTTACTGACAGTGAAAGTCTTACTGAAAAACATCTTGCTTTTATGCAACTGAATATGTGGCATCTGGTACTTACTGGGCTGCTCCTTCCCTGAGAAGATTGTCATTATTAAGCAGCAATCGAACATCTGAAAGGAGATATTTACAACGTAAAAGTACAGTTAACTCAGAAACTTGTTTCAGTCACATGACAAATGTCAACAGACTGTACAAAACAAAAAACCCAAACCACCCCATACCCATACAGATTACTAGGTAGGAAATTTATTGCTTCATATTTCATAATTTTGACTGAACAAAATGAGAAAACTAGTACGATCCCTTCCAACACAATCCAGTAAACACATATAAGCCATATTCTACAGGCTGTGTGACAGCTCTAGGAATCTGTCAAACTAGTTTTTAGACAAGTTCTGAATGAGAACAGCACAGGATTCAAATGAGTTCACTTTTAAGATGTAAACTACCAAATCCCTCACACTGTATTGATGGTAGTGGTTACTGTATTTTGACAACATTAATATGGCATGTGGGTTTTTTTTTTAGCCTTAACATTTTTGCTTTCGTTCTTTAATGACACTTAGTAGTCAGAGCACAATATATCACAATACCTTTTCTTCTACCATCATACAAGAAACATAGGAGTACAGAATAAAGTCAATACTCTCCTCAGTATGACTTCTTATTTTCTATGCAGTAAATTGTTATTTACTTTACTTGTTGTACTTGACTTACTGCCTTATTATTTACTAGGTAGTATCTTAATACCAGTTTAATGCACTGATCATTAACTAACTGACCATTATTCTCACTATAACATTTTAAACTCTTCTGAAGATTCCCAAGATATCATGCAAGGAGAAAAAAAAAAAACCCAGAATGTATCTGAAGTATTTTTCCTAAAACGAAAACAAAACAAAACAAACAACAAAAAACACCACTAAAACCCAAAAAACAAACAAAAAACCCCACACCACAACAAAACCCAAACCAAAACACAAAACAAAACACCCAAAATTAAAAAACCCAAACAACAAGAAAATCCACAACAACCCCACAAACCCCAACACCAAACCAAACAAAATCACAATTTACAGAATTGGAATTTAAAGCTTTCTCTCTCTCTTTTTCTAAGAAGTCAGTCTGAATCTCATTGAACACTCATCGCACATTTATGATCAAATGTTTTGTTATGTGTTTCCAAACATATTATACTCAGTTATTGAGCAGGTAGTTGCAACTATGAACTAGCTTAACAATAAGGTTCGTAGCAGTTCTGCTATAAGAAATTGCTTTAACCTTTAGGGAGCTGGGTTAATGAGCTGCTCACCAACAGTTCATTTCACAAATGCAGTACAAACTAAGCTTAAATAATAATCAGCTTGTCACAGTCTAACTGAAGAGCAAGGTACTTCTAAAAACATTACATTCTTTAACAAATTTAAGCTCTCTCCAGCCTGATGTTGACTATAAGTTTAGTATACTAAACCTACTTCTTTACTTAAATAGCACCAGAGCTATTTGTAAGCTACAGCTACAAAATGTATACCTTCTTACATAGTATGGACACCCATGTATCTTGATGCAAGACATACGCAACAATTTTTAAAGAAAAATAACATCTTAGGTAAAGTTCAGGCAACAATAGTTGAGAGAAGCTAATTTCAAGTTTCCTTTCAGCTTACCAATACACTCAGTAAAATGAAGTGTGCCCAAAATTTAAGGGTTAAAAATGTTTGGAGAAGATTAATATTCTTTCCACAATGGGCGTTAAGCAGTAGTCCTTTGTATATTCAAAGTTAAGTATTTGTAATTATATTCCTTATTTAAAAAAAAAGGGGGGGGCATTTTAATTTCAGCTAGTTTAATTTCTGTTGAAAAAGGTAATTGTCTATCGAAGACTGGAAAAAAAAAAAGAGTACGTGTGTCTTCTAAACAAAACGCCTAGCAACTGTTAATTCATGACTGATTAAAAAACAGAAAGCAAGCTCATTCTCACATCACAAAGAAAGTGGTACTTTCCTCCTTTTGCATTTAAACTCCAAGCTGTCTTGTGACTGCAAAGCTTATTATGCCAAGCTACAAAACCAGCTCTTACAGCAAGTGAGCTGCTAGAATATAAGCTACATGAAATTCAGAAGAGTAATTGGCAATACAACTTTGGATATAGACGCCTTAAATGAAAGGACATAGCAGACAGATACTCACCATTGAACACCTCATTGAATTCCCCAGGAGGAGCATGAATTATGAATTTTGCTGCTATACGCACCTTAAATACAAAAACAATTATGTGGTTGTATATACTTGTATTCATTCCTATTCAAACCAATGATGCATTGTATAGCTTTAATACCCAGACATGAAATTGTACAGCTCCCACTGTTTCATGTATTTGTTCACATTACTTAAACTACTCTGTCTTTGTTAGAAACACAGAATATAAAGTTCTACCTCTTCAAACAGAACAGAGGAGGTTATATGTGATGGAAGCAGATAGAGAAATTGAGTCACTCATGTTTCGTATTATGGCAAAAAGGAAAAGATTAATATAACAAATGAGATCAATAATATATTCACAACCTATTTCAACTTTCAGTCCATGGATGCCTGTCAACACACATTCCAAGAGAGCCAAAAACCAACCATGGTGAAGATACATTCAATCTTCAAAGCTTCTCCTCTAATAATTTAACTACACATCCTATGGTTCTAAACTTTCCAAAAGGCCCATAGGTGGACAGTAATCAATAGCTTACATAAGCTTAAAAACACTTGTGTAGACACTAAAGCATGTAATTTCACCTGCATATACCTGTAAGGTCTCTTAGTATCACAGAATCAGCAGTTAAAGTTTAAAAAAACCACCTTGAGAACTTCTTTAATGCAAGTCCTCAAGCAATTGTATTAAGCAATTGCCTTCAGCCACAACTTCTTGCAGACAAAACACGGCACAAGCCAGTACTTCCACTAAAAGTACATACACCTGCTCTGGCTTTCTCCCTCCTTCTGCTTGCACAAGCACTTGTACAACTGTACAGTGAGCAAAATTAGAAAGGTTATTTTTCTTTTTTTATTAGACAGGGTCCCTGAACTGGTTCACTGCACAGCAGCAGACACATGTGCTTGCAAAAGGAACACAAAAATGCTTTTCTGATGTGAAGCAACCTTAAAACTTTTCAACTATTACCTTACTTGTAGAATGTCACTCAGCAGACTTGCTTTCATTCATTCTTCTTTCCCCCTTAAACTGTTAAGGGACCCAATATAAAAGTAAGTAAATAAATGTTGGTTTCCTAACTTAACCTGACAAAAGTTCCTATCCTTCACATTTTACAGTTATCTAAGTTCAGGAGACATACAATGCTCTCTTGCATCCTTGATACGATGTTGCTGTTCAAATACAGGATACTACCTGAACCATAGTTCTCATTTCTAATACCTTCGGTTATATTTCTATGGAATAAAGAGCTGGGAGTGTCTGCACTCTCTGGGCTTCCTGTTTGAAATTAAGGTGTTTGAGAATCACATACTCCATTAACAAATATCTAAAAATAAAGATGTTTTACATGTATATATTTATATATATTTGAAACTACAGAAGAACTGTCTGAGCATGCTAGAGCTCTTGAGCTGACTTGTAAATAGCTTTTATAGTCGAGGGTTGCAATACAGCCAGTGCTCGGACCCCAGCTTCTTGACAGGGCCCAAGGTTAAGGCAAGAGTCTCCAGGAGAGATGGTTCAAGCTTAAGAGTGCCCTGAGAGAGCACTTAGCTGCCTCATTAGCAGTGTTCAAACCTCAATGAGATCCCAAATGACTAGCCCAGGCAGCTTTCCGCTCCCTAACAGTCAGCACACAGCCACTCAGAGCTGGCTAATGGAAATGGAAAGGCTGTCAGTTCCCAACTTTCTGAACTGAATGCTACACTTTGGATTGCAGACAGCATTTATCTGCTACCTCAAATACCTAAATCAGAACTCCTCTTTCCATGTAAACAAATTTGCATTATACCGAGATAAATGCCACAGGGTTTACTCTTCTCAAAAGAGACACAGAGAGGCAAGAGCATCTTCTTCTATGGCAGCTTATTAAACCACTTGCCCCGATTAGAAAGCGACTTGGATTGTCTCCTTCGACCCAAAGGACTGCAAACTCATCTGCATTAGCCAGACATTACCCCAACCACCGGTCTGTACACTTTTTCCAAGTGAGGACATTGTACGTGGTATACACAGCTGAATGCTCAACCCAAAGCAATCTAAAGGATGTGCAATATAGCTAACCTACAGTACTATTAAAGCACTCATGAAGGAGAAGGGCAAGACAGGCTCCAAGGCTCTACTACAAGGCCATTTTATCAAATGACCAATTAACAGAGTCTGGGATCAGACTAGAATTTAGGCTTCATGCTTAAGGGCAGGTATTTAGTTGTGCTTTCAGCATGACTGTCAGGCTGACTCCCAGCTCAAAGTTAGATGAAGGCACACCACTTCTTGGTTCCAACGTGACTTCAGGACATGAACAGGACTGCTTATCCCTGCCATGGCTGGGTGAGCTCTGGGCAAGCAGAGAAACAAGACATGCTTAAATGAGCAAAAGTAAGCAAAATCTAGGTGCCCAAACTGCACTCTGAATGACCATGTGCTTTAAAGTGGTAGTATCTGTAAGGTGAGATATTAAGTCTGTACTAAAACTGGAACGATACCTCATTTTCAGCTGTTTTGGTAATGTAAAACTGGTTTTGCTTCTTTTTTAGCTATCAGTAAGAACTATTCTCATCAGTCAGATTAGCTATAGTATGAGTAATATCCATTCAGAAATATTCAATAGTAACAGATGTTTCCTCAGGACAGACCAACCTAAACATTGCTTTTAATGAACATTTTACTAATAAATTCAATTCCTCAATAAGAACTTTTTCAGTGTGATTATTATTCATAGATGCCACTTTTCATAGGACAGATAAACACAATCATGCAAATTTGCAATGAATATCTCATCAAGAAGTATAAAGTATACTCATCCTTACAGAGGAAGAAAACCTAATGTGTCTTCAGAAGATGAGAGTCTGTCAGCTAAGACACTGCATTTTGCTAACCTGCCTTTGTTAAGTCCATTTAAAACTAATCCACTTTTATTCAGCAATTAAACCAAATTAACTTATCTGTGGAGATGAGTATCTGAAAAAGCCGTATTTCCCCAACTCATACATACAAGAAGTCCACATAAAAGAATTACATCCAGTAGTCTCACTTAACACATAAGAACTGAAAAGGACTTACAGCTTCTTTATTGCCACTGAGTTTTTCCAGAAATAAATGCTCTAAAGGAGGTTCCTCTGTTTTCCAAAACCAGACTGATACCGAAGGATAAGTGAATGCACTTTCATGAGCCTCAATGAGATGAAGATCTCCCCCTTTTGGCAGTAAAAAGCCACTGGCTCAGCTATCACTTGAGGAAGCACAATTTAAACAAAGGGACAGTCCATACAAAATGTGGTGTTTATGGGCAAATAAAAAAATTTAAAAATGCACATATAGCAAGAGGCATATTACTTGTAATATGAAGCAACAGGTAAAAAACTTAACTGCAATATAGTCCAGTTGAGATAGGAAGTTATTTTTACTGAAAACTGATTAAGAAAACACTTCAATCAGATGCATTACAGTTGAAACCAATGCTGGTTATTCAATACATTGAGACTTTAAAAAATTGATTAGAACTGATTTGAACAAGTCAAAACAGAAAAAAACATAATATTCTCAAAGTCTAAATGACAAAACCTTTTTCATTCAAGAGAACTGCACCTTCACACACAGTACAAGTGCCTTATACACATATCAGCAAGTAACAAAAAATGAGGTTACAGTTGAGTATTCCTTTAGAAAACTCAAAAGCTAAGACTGAGAAATCACCTGAAGTTTCTCCATTTTTTACTCTACTTATTCCTAAAACACCACCTAAAGTTTAAGACAGTGTTTTAATGATGTAGTTTCCAAGATTAGATAGACTTACAGCCACTGTCTTCAGTTAAATGTCTGCAGAGCAGCTTGCAAGAAACTATAAACTTCAGATGTTCTGGATTAGTGAACTCTGATCATCAATGATTCACAAAAAACAGGTCTTGCAAACAGCTTTTACCACAAGCCTATGTAAGGAATTGCACATTTACTATATTAAATTCCTTGAATGCACAAAACCAATCTAAATATGTTTTCATGAAACATGACTTCCTGCAGGTTTGAGCATTAATTTGGACAAATCATACAGAAGCTGAGAGGAAGTTACAAAAAAAAAAAAAAAAAAAAAAAGAGACTTCTGAAACACCGAGAAGGGAAGCATCCACTGCAGGCGTTCTCTTTACCCAGTTTTCACATATACACCAGTCACAGACTCACTTAAATGAAGTCTGGTATCAATAGGTAAGAGCTAGTGAATTTACTTCCTCAATTCAAGTGAAGCCAAATGCTACCCATCACATCAGTTACAAGCTTTCTGATTTTATAAAGTCAACTATTTCAGTTAAGGCAGAAATTAAGACCGAGGAGCTTAGTGAAAAAGAAAAGGACAGGTTTGTTGTATGCGATGCGCATGGATACTAGGCATAATAAAATGCCTAATTCCTCATTCTGCTAGAGATTAAAATGATTAGTCTATCATCAAATGCCTACACTCAGTTACTACGGTATTTGCAGTTTTCAGATTACGCATGCACAAAGGTAGCAATATACAGAATGGTGTTAGTTACGCTAAATCTGCCTTGTTTTCATACTTCTGCCTTTATTTCACAATCTAATGTCTCTCAAGGTGTGACACCCATCAGATACATAGAGAAATCCTACTTCTCTACCTTTTCCAGTCTGTGACATTCTGAAGTTTGCTTTATTTTAAAGAAGTTATGCACAGTGACTTCAAATGCCCCCAAACCACTCTTCCTGTTCCTGGCACATCGGAACTGACACTGGTTGAAAAAGCCCGACCTTCTGCGCTGTATGTGCCTATATATGGTCATGAATGTGTGCTCCCAGAAGTGCAGGGACTCCTACCACGCCATGGTCAGCTCTGCTAAGATATGCTCATTCCTGATAATCAGCTAGAGTACACCTAGCAATAAAAGAGACATTAAAACTTAAGTTAGCTTTTCTTCCCCCCCCCGCCCCCTCCCCTTCCCTTTTTCTTTTCACCTTTTTAACTTAACTGAAATACAGCTATATTTGCCAGGCACCCTGACAGCTCACTCCTTCAATCAACAACCATGCTGCGCAGCAAAAACACGCTGGTAAGCAAGATGCTGTGAAACCACATACTTTGCCCT